TAATGAAACAAGTTATATGAATGGTTGAATGTGAAACTGATGTTGCGCCCTGTAAACTTTCACTCAAACCACAATAAAAACCTTAAGTTAAAAAAAAAAAAATGTTAGTAAGCAGCTTCGGCTTTGAATTAAATATATAAACCTGATATTTTGTTTCATCTAGATCTAAGCAAGGTTTGAGATTCTATACTTCTCTTTCAAATTGTTCACAAGAACCCATCTTCCCTATAATCACTAAACATTCAAACACTAAGTTACCAAATGTTCAATTTTACTGAATGGATAAAGAGAAAATAACAAGGAGCAACTGGATCTACAGATTGTGGATATTTCTTTTCATATATGTACAGTAAAGCCTGTGAAAGCCAGAAACTGCGTACAGCAGAAACCTGTCAGAAAGGGGAAACTCAAATATTTTCCACCAAAACCAGTGATAGTAAAGTTGTCAGATTGTACCTTATCAAAGTCAGAGAACTTGCGCAAGGCCCAGAAAAGCAAGGCAGTCCCAAAGTTTCTGCTTCACAGATTTCACTGTAACCAACATTGTAAGTTGCTAATCAACAAACCCCCTTTCAATCATTGCAATCTCCATCACAGTTTTATCATTCTCCTTTTGAAAGACTGGAATTTAATCACCTCTTTCTCTCATTGCTTACCTAAGGAAGTTACCAAAATAAAATACGAAAAACCAGGAAATTAGACTAGTATTTCCTAACTCTGGCTCACACTCACAGTTGCTTATGTGGGAACATTCATAAATATCCACACTTGTCCTTCATCTCAGACCAGCTGAATCAAAATTTCAGGATGAGACTTGAGCATCTGTCTTGTGTGGCCAGGATTGAGGCATAATCAATCCTTCAGATGTAAACTATACTATCTGACTATGGAAAGCCCTGGATGCTGCAAATGGTTAGCTTGATCAACTACTAACTGAAAGGCAGACAATTCAAGTCCACCTGGCTTGATGCGCTACTTCCTTCCACCATGCACCCCCCACCCCAGGCTGGCGGGGGGTGGGGGGAATTAACCACTGAAAATTCTGTGGAGCACAGTTCTACATCATGAGTTGGAGTTGACTGTAATGGCAAACAGTTGATTTTTGTTTTGGGAGTTGGGGGTGGATGGCGTTAAACTATCATTAGCTGAACAGGGCAAATAATAAACATCTGTTAGCAAATAATAGCATGAAGGAAGAGTTTATACCAGTCAACATGCATATTTCTGCATTATATCTTCCATTAAAAGATGGCCACTGAATTTTTTTCACTTTTCCCTGCAATGATCTGAGAGCCTTAGGCTGATTGGCCAACTCTACATGGGTGGGTGTACAGCCTCATTTTCAGCACATCCTGTTTGCCAAAATATCACTGAGCCAACAATTAGCTGAATTTTATGTCCTTCTGATTGCAAACATCACAAAGTTGTGAATGAATAATATATATGAAGGCATTTTCTTGGGGGAAGCAAACTCCCACGAAAGATTTATAGCATTGGTCACCACTGCATGCAAAAGTTCACAGCTTCGTCCTATAGGAATCTTTCAACTGACCCAGGGTTTGTATGTGCTTGTACTTTGGAAACATTTTTCTTAGGAAAATGCAGTTCTCTGTTAAATGAATAACACGTGTGGAAGGGGAAATGAGTTTGCTGAAGCCACAATACCTTTGAAACGACCTGTAGCAGTTTTCCAGTAAACGAAGCCATCGTATAACAGAGTCCTTTCTTTACTTATCAAAGCCTGTTTCCTAAAAACATGGCCATTTTTCAGTTTTGTGCATGTCTTATTTTCGATCTTATTGAGGATGTCAAGCCATTTCTGGTTTTTCTCATATTCACTGACTTTTGAATCCACCGCAACGATCATGTCTTTAATTAAGCAAAGTGCTTTACATAAGTCTTTATGTTCTTCAGTTCTTTCTACATGGAGGAAATAAAAAGAAAAAAGAAAGTAGAAAATACTTTTATTTTTTTTAAAAATACACTTAAATCAATCATCCAAAAAAAAAAAAAATCCCCTAAGGAAATTTTTTAATTTAATATAAGTTCTATACTATCACTCTGTACCCCCTTACCCCAAGAGAACCTTTAAGCATCTGTGTTTACAGAGGATGTACGTTATCAAATACACTTCAACTGAGGAAACAAAAGGTTCTCTAGAGCCTAAAGCAGCAGAAATAAACACTTGGAAATAGCAATCACGAGGAATGAGAGTAAGTCCTCCACATGTCATAAATATTCCCAGGCCCTAAATATCTTAAATACATAAAATGTGCATTTGATCAGAGAACCTCAAGTGGAACCTGATACACATCTTAACAAGGAAGCTATTTTCTTTCTCACTGCCTGGGAGAGTACACACATCACTATTTTACTACACCTTATGACGCTAAGCCCACACCCCAGAAGGATTCTTCTTGATAAAGAATATCATTTCATAAACAAGAAAGTTGAATTGAGAAAACTGAAATAGTGCTTACAAGATGATCTGGCCAAAAAGAACCTCAAACTCTTCTGACCACGCAGAAACAAAGTCCTGTCTTATATTGCACTTCATGAGGAGTCCTGTTATCACAGTGGGTTATTAGGTATTGGGCTACTGATGGCAAGGTAAGGAGTTCAAACCCAGAAGCCACTCCTTAGGAGAAAGACGAGACTGCCTGCCCCGATAGAGATTTAGGGTCTCGGAAACCCTGTGGAGCAGTTCTGCTCTGTCCTACAGGGTTGTTATGAGTCAAATCAACTAGGTGAAGAGCAGTGGGTTTGTTTTTGATAAAGCACTACACTGTTCAAAGTGTACCTGACCTGTATGTTTATTAGAAATGCCTACTTTGTGTCCCTCACCAGACCTAGGAAGTCTGAATCGAGACAAGATATATCCAGAGGAAAGTTTTACTCAATCATGTTTGAGAAACCACTCATAATAGAAAGCAGCAGCGATCCAGTGTTTCCAGAAGTCCCAGAGAATGTGGACTACTAGTAGGGTCTGACCAGAGGAGGCAGCGCCTCCTTGGCCACCATATTGACATATGGGTTCTGACCCATAGTGACCCTGTATAGGGTTTCCGATGAACAGCTGGTGAGCTTGACCACCAACTTTGAGACCAAAGCAACTTTGTAGCCCAGCTCATTAACCCACAGCACCACACCAGGGCTATATAACTATATTGTTGTTTTTGTTGTTAAGTGCCATCGAATCAGTTCCAACTCATAGTGACCATGTATAGGGTTTTCAAGGAGCAGCTTGAACCACCAACCTTGCAGTTCAAATGACTTTGCAGCCTGACACATTAGCCCACAACGCCACACCAGGACAGGTGGCATAAAAATAGGACACCAGGAGTAGATGCTATCATTCCTCCATGTATGTAGTTCTAAATGATGAATAAAATGAGAAGAATTATTATGCTTTCCTACTGAACTGTTGATGTAATGCGGTGCCATTCAAGTCAGGTGTGACTCAGTAAACCGTGGATTGAGTTTTTGTTTTATTTTTTTAATGTAAGAAGTTGAGGTTTTTTGTTTTTTAGAATTAGTGCACAAGTTATTACCTTTTTAACTGACCTAAATTATGATAATAAATCATAATGCACAGTCCCCATGCATTAAGCACCTCATTTATACCAGGTACTGCTCTGAGCACTATGTAAAACTATCATATTTCATCCTCATAATTCAATAAAATAAGGATTATTTTACAAAATACTATTATTTTGTAAGTGAAAAAACTGAGGCTAATTTAATTAATTTGCCCAACGTATGAGTGGCAAGCCAAGCAGATACAACAGCAACCCAAGTTTACTCAATTCCACCCCCAGGGCTTTGTTAGCATCATACACTGCCACTTTGACAGTACCTTTTACTCAAGGTTCATAAGCTAGCCTGAGGAATAGGCAGTTTTATTTATTGATTCATTGCACTACTATATATTTTGGAGTCCTGTGTAGTGCTGTAGGATTTTGTTGTTGTTTTAAGTGCCATCGAGTCAGTTCCGACCCATAGCAACCCTGTGTAGGGTTTCCGAGGAGCAGTAACTACAAGGTCAGTGGTTCAAACCCACCAGCTGCTCCTCAGAAACTCTGAATAGTGTCGCTGTGAATTGGAATCGACTTGACATCACTTAACAACAATGACGACATGTATTTATTTATTGAGAGCCTATTTTGTATTAGCCACTGCATTGAAAATAAATCTGTGAACCAGAGAACCAGACAGACACAGGCTTCAAGGAGCTCTGGTAGTGTAATGGTTACAAATGGGACTGCAAACCTTAAGGTCAGCAGTTCAAAACCACCAGCTGTTCTGTGGGAGAAAGATGAGGCTTTCTTCTCCCATAAAGATTTACAGCCTCAGAAATCCTGCACAGGGTCGCTATGAGTCGGCACCGACTCCATGGCACATAACCAACCAACCACCATAGTTCAACTACATTCATTAGTAGCTTCTTAAAGGCCAAATGCTACTACCTAAAATTTGATGAATTAACAGGATCAAAGATAGCTTTTTCATACTTTTTTTTTTCAGTCTAATGATTGAATGTTTGGCGCTTAGTGAAAGAAGCAACAGCGTTCATTCCACCAGGTGGCTGTGAAGGGAGTAGGAACACAAGAAAGAGGAGTTATTAAGAAGATTAGGATCTGGGGAATTAGGGAGAAGAAAGTCAGGGTTCAAAGTACGAAGAAACCTGCTTGATTTGGACTACTTGACAAAATTGAAACCATTGGCAAAGTCACATTATACAAAATAATTTCTCAAAATTAATCCAAATCTTAAGACTTTCTCAATTTCCCCATAATGAAAAACTTGATGAATCAGAGACCACATGAATTTATAACTTTTTAGTATACTCTGGCTGGTTATCACACTCAGATGCTAACCAAAAAATTGGAGTTTCACATCCAACCAGAGGCAAATCAGAAGAAAGGGTTTAGCAATCTATTTCTGAACAGTCATTGAAAAATCTGTGGAGTCCAGTTCTACTCTAACACATGAGTGGGAATCAAAAGCAAGTGGTTTAACTGGCAGCCACATTTAAAACTAATGAAAGAGGCAAACGCATGTTCCAGAAACCATCACTCACCCTTTGTGTACTGCAATATCCTCTCCACCAGGACAGGGTATTTTGTAATTCGCTGAGTGACCAACAAAATACACTCTGGAATTCCTCTGCGCCGAGCCAAAAGGTTACTATTCCGGAGCTTAAAAAAATATAGACACATTTTTATATACACACACTCTACCTGTATTTATTTTTTAGGTGTGAAGTTAATAATATTTACAAGGAAACTGCTACAGTATAATTCTATTCATACTAAAACTTGATTCATTGTCATTAAATTGTATACCTTGTCCTTAATTTCAACACTCCAAGATTTCAGGAAGTTTATTTTTCTCTGATGTATCTGTAACTAATCCCCAAAGTAAACAAAGTCCAATACTTCTAAGCACTAAAATTTATGATTAGCAAAAGTTTTGAAAAATGATAGAAAAAAATCTAAGAGTTTGAATATGAGTTAGCAGTTAACTATTTGTTTTTCCAACTGGTCTTCCTCCACATTTATTATTATCTATTACAATACTTGAAAGTTCCTTCTAAGTAAGGCAACCTTTACTAAAAATATCAAAGTACTTAATCAACAACACTCATACATGTGAAAAAAAAAGAGGAAAGAGAATTTCCTAACATTTTTTAAATTCCAGAGAAAAATTTACATTGTGGGAAATTTTACAGGACGAATTTCTTTAAATTGGACAGAAAGAGGGGAAACAATTATATTAAAGAGATTTAATCATTGCTACATAAACTATGTGAATCTTGATCAGACTCTGATCTAAACAAAACAATTTTGTGAGCTGACCAGGGAAATTTGAATGCTGGCCAGGTATTTGATGATGTTAAGGAATGATTTGTTAATTAATTTAGGTGTATTCAAGGCATAAGAAGCCTCAGTGGTGCGGTAGGTTTCATAGTGGGCTTCTAATCGAAAAGTTGGTGGTTTGAACCCACCAGCTGATCTGTGGGAGAAAAAGAAAGTAGTCTAATTCTGTAAAGATTTACAGCCTTGGAACCCTTAGGGAGCATCTCTACTCTGTCCCTATAGGACCATGATGAATTGTAAGTGACTCAACAGCAGTTTGAATAATAAGAGCATTTGGTAATAATAGCATTTTCATCATAATTTTTTTTAAAAGAGACCATATTGTTTAGAGAAACCTACTGAAATATTACAGATATAATTCTATGATTTTTGAATTCGCTTCAGACTAACCTAGTAGTGATGGGGTAAGGGTCGGATAACAGGAACATAAACAAAATTAGAGTGGCTGTGAGATGATGTCTACTGAATTGAAACTGGGTGATGGGTATATGGAAGTCCATGGTACCATCCTCTCTATTCTGGGATGCGAGTGAAATTCCCCTTGGTACAAAGGGGTTTGGGCTTTTGGTTGTTATAGTTGTTTTGTATTATGCCCTGTCACGTATTTCTCTGTTTATTCCCTATGACATCACCCTCCCACCCACAGACCAGAGCAAATACACTAATAAGGACAGAAGTTACTACAAAATCCTTTTCAACTCTCCATAACAATTTCCCAGCACCTAGAATCATCACTTTAGGGAGTTCCCTGACACCTAAAAGGGAAAGAGTCTACTCTTCTGAGTTGATGAAGAAGTGTTTCACATCACGGGCCTGGATGGGATGACGGCCAAAGTTCCTTGGCATTCTGAAACATTATGATTCTAAAAGGCTCCAACCATAGTCCAATAATAAAAGAAAACCAAAAAATGGGCAAAGTTGTCTTCTCCCCATGTATGTCAAATACTGTCTCTCCAAACATTCACATGTCCCCTATTATTTGGAGAATGACGCCTCTCTTTACTTTTTCCTTTGGCTCTTTTGATTTATAACTTACTTCTCAGAATATAATAAATATGCCCAGAAGTTTGGAGGATATGGTTTTACAAATATAAACCAGGAAATGATTTGGAAGAAATATTTTACTAGCACAAGAGAAGACAAGTTTCCATCTTTAAGACTACCTTATCACTTCCTTCTCCTAAAAAGCTGCACCAAGATGTACAGATTGTTTAAATCATGTAAGAAAGAAGTATGAAGAGTTTCACCAGACTGCTTTACCAATTTATTATAGGGTTTTCAAATACTGACCTTGATAAAATTCTGAAACTTCTTATTCTGCTGTAGTTCTTTAAAGAGGCTAACTGCTTCTTTGTGGTGACTACAAAATTCTCCATAGATTTTCTTCATTTTATTTGCATTTTCTTCTGAAAACTGAAAAGAATAACATTCAAATAACATTTTATAAATTTCATCACTGAATCAAACACACAAAAATGTTTTCATATACTTCAATTTTTTTTTTTTTCAGATAAAGAATAGTCATCATTGGATTTGTGAATTTAAGAGGGGGTAAGGGGAGAAAGTTGATATTCTTTTTTTATAGATTCTATCACATTCAACCATCAAATAGACACATGAAAAATGTATATTTTCTATCATTTTTAATGGTTGTGCAATTTATTATTTTGATCTGTAGTTTTCATACTGTGTAAAGGAGCTCTGGTAGAGTAGTGGTTACGAATAAGGCTGTGAACCGCAAGGTCAACAGTTCGAAACTACCAGCTGTTCCGTGGGAGAAAGATGAGGCGGTCTGCTCCCATAAATATTTACAGCCTCAGAAATCCTGTGTAGGGTCTCTACGAGTCGGAACCGACTCCACAGCAGAAAACAACAAACAACAAACAGACTGAATGAAACAGGGCTGTGGGTCTGGGGTTTTGGTGTGGTGCTGCAGGTTAGTGTTCTGGACTGCAAGGTTGATTTGAACTGCAAAATTGTTGGTTCAAGCTCACCAGCTGCTCCTAAGAAGCTCTATACAACATCACTATGAGTCAGAACTGACTCGACGGCACTTCAAACAACAAAAACAGGAGGCTCTGGCCTCCCAAAGGAATCACTGAATGATTTGACCTTTTTCTTTTACACTAGTTAATTGACAATACCCATGAACTCACAGACTCACTTGTCAACTGGGAATCTGACTTCTATCAGTATGTCAAGAAGGAACTGTTATACAAAGGCAGACTATAGTGAATTAAGCTCAAAGAGAATGAGCAATGGTTTATTAACTGATGCAAAGAAGTACAGATGCAGGCTAGGATGTGTGAATAAGCTAAAAAATCTATATAGGAAAATCTACATGGCAACCCATTTAGACTCACGGTGGCATTTGTAATTATATGAGTGTAAAGTTTCAGACTATGAGGGCTCTACATACACAGTCAAGATCATTGCCACAGAAACAAGAAATAAAAAACATCCCTTTCTTGGAAAGTACTTAAAATTTACATGACCACCTCTGTGATCTTTTCATCTTTGCTTAGAGTCTTAGCTATGTTTGAGGGCAATGTGCACCAAAAGATGAGCCTGAAATCACTTCAATTATTTAAATAATAGTAAGAAGAAGCAGCTTAGTTCTAACTCTAACAAAACATATGCAGGACTTGTTCTAAATCTAACAAAACATACACATGACTTTTATGTTGAAAACTGCAATTCAAGTGAAAGAAACTGAAGATCTTAATAAATGGAGTGACTAAAATACTAGAAGATCCAACATTGTAAGGATGCCAATTTTCCCTCAATTGATACAGAGGCTTAATACAATTCTTATCAAAATCTCAGCAACTTTTTTATAGACATGCATAAATTATAAAAATTATATGGAAAAGCAAGAAACTAATTAGCTTAAAAACACTAAAGAAAAAAAAGAGACTTAAGAAAAAAAGGAATAATAAAGAATAAAGTCTACTCAATTTCAATATTTATTGTATAGCTACAGTAACTAAGATTGTGTGGTACTAGCAAAAAGATAAACATGTACATCAATGGAACAGAAAGCAAAACCCACAACAGTCACCTGATTTTGAACAAAGGTATAAAACCAATACAATGGAGAAAGGAAAGCCTTTTCAACAACTAACACCAGAGCAATAGGACAACAGCAAAAACCAAAAACAAAACAACAACAACAAATTCAATCTAAGGTGCAACTGGGGAGCATGGTGACTCCACACAATAAGCACCGGACTGCAAACCACAAGGTCCACAGTTTGAGCCCACCAGTCATTCTGGGGGAGAAAGATGAAATTTTCTGTTCCTGTGAAGATCTAAAGCCTCAGAAATCTTATACAGGGTTGATAAGTGGGAACCAACGCAACAGCACTTAACAAGGTACAACTACTGACCTGTCCCTGCCTAGAGGAAAGAAAAATGATGACAAATGAAGATGCATAGAAACAATTAGTCGAATGGACTAACAGACCATGTGAACATAAGTCTCCATGACCCTGAGACCAGAAGACTAGATGGTACCTACCTACCTTTACCAACTGCTCTGAAACGAATCTCATCAAAATGTCATGGATAGAATGGGAGAAAAATGTGGAACAAAATCAAAAGGCCAGACTTACTGGTTAGATAGAGACTAGTGAAACCCTAGAGACTATGACCTTTAGTCACTGTTTAGATCTGGAAATGAACTCACCTCATGGCTCAACTTTTAGCCAAATAGTGTTGTTCTTAGGTGCCAATGAGTCGTTCCTGACTCATTGCCTAGGTACAACAGAACGAAACACTTCCCGATCCAGGACCTACCTCACAACTGTTGCCACGCTTGAGCACATTGGGAACACGGAATGGTTTAAAATTAAGAAAGGTGTGCAACAGGGTTGTATTTTTTCACTATACTTATTCAATCTGTATGCTGAGCAAATCATCTGAGAAGCTGGGCTATACGAAGAAAAACGTAGCATCAGGATTGGAGAAAGACTCATTAACAACCTACGATATGCAGATCATACAACCTTGCTTGCTGAAAGTGAAGAAGACTTAAAATACTGATGAAGATCAAAGACCACACCCTTCGATATGGATTACATCTCAATGTAAAGAAAACAAAAATCCTCGCCACTGGATCAATAAACAACATTCTTATCAATGGAGAAAAGATTGAAGTTGTCAAGGACTTCATTCTTCTTGGATTAACTATCAACACTCATGGAAGCAGCAGTCAAGAAATAATTTGCATTAGGTAAATCAGCTGAACAAGACCATGTTAAAGTGTTGACGAGCAAAGACCTACAGTCAGCTAAACAATAGACAGGTCTATAAGGGAAACAATAAGACTAAGGAGGTGCTTACACCTTAGAATAATCAACCATTAGACATCAAAAGGTCAGTATTTAGCCAAAAACAAAGTTTTGAAGGGTTAGGAAAGAAGAAGAAATGAAAATAAGAAACAAAGAGAGGAAGTGGATTAGGAATGTTAACACTGAGGAGACTGTAATCAATAAAACAAGATATGTAGAAATTGTTGAACATAAAACTAATTACCTACTCTGTAAACCTTCATACCATGAAGAATAAAAAGTTAAAAGAAAAATAATTCAAAATGAACCTATTAAAATATAAACCATAAAACTTTTAGGGAAAAAAAAAAACTCTAGGAGAGTATCTTTCAGATCTAGGACTAAGCTCGAGTTCGTAAACTTGAAACTCAGACAATGATCCATTAAAGAAAAGAAATAAAAAACTGTATTTCGTCAAAATTAGAAAACTTCATTCTGTGCTAAGAGAATAAAAAGACAAGTTACAGAAGGGGAGTAAATATTTGCAAATATTGGACAAGACTAGTGTCTAGAATTTATAAAGAAATCTCAAAATTCAACAGTAAGAAAACAAACAGGCCAATAAGAAAATGGGCAAAAGACATGAGTAGAGATTTCTCCAAACAGGATATTGTTGTTGTTGTGAAGTGCCATTAAGTCGATTCTGGTGCATAGTGACCCTGTATAGGGTTTCCAAGGAGCAGCTGGTGAGTTTGAACCACCGACCTTGCAGTTCAAATATCTTGTAGTCTGATATCTTAGCCCACAGTACCACACCAGGACTCCAAAGGGATATGCAGATGGCAGATAAGCACATGAAAAGGTTCGATATCAAGATGCATTGGGGAAATGCCATTTAAACCAATGAGCTATCGCTGCACACCTATCAGAATAACAAACAATCAAGACTAGTGACACCGCCCAATACTGGCAAGGATGTAGAGACACTGGATCACTTGCACACTGATGGTGAGAATGTAAAATTGTATGTTGTTGTTGTTAAGTGCCATTGAGTCAGTTCCAATTAGGGTTTCTGAGGAGCTACTGGTGAGCTTGAACTGCCAACCTTGCAGTTCAAACCAACCTTGCAGTCCAGCATATTATCCCAAAGTATCACACCAGGACTCCAAAGTGGTTCTGTTGTTGTTGTGAAGTGCTGTAGAGTTGATTCTGACCCATAGAGACCCCGTATAGGGTTTCTAAGGAGTGAATGGAGAGCTTGAACTGGCAACCTTGCAGTTCAAACCAACCTTGCAGTCTAACACATTAACACACAGAGCCACACCAAGACTCAAAATGTCATTTTTAAAAGCAATTTGTTAGTTTCTTTTTAAAAATGTCCACATATAACTGCCATATAACCCAACAATTGCACTCCTGGGTACTTCTTCCAGAGAAATGAGAACAAGTTTGCACCAAAACCTCTAGGTGAATAATGACAGAACTTTATTTATAATAGCCAAAAATGAGAAACACTAGATGTTCTTGGAAAACTGAATGGATCAACCAATTACAGTATATCAATACCATAGAATATAACTCAGCAATAAAAAGGAACAAAGCATTTATACAAACAGTCACATGGATGATTCTCCAAAGAATTATACCGAGTGAAGAAAGACAATCCAAAAAAGGATACATCCTCTGTGATTCCATTTACATAGCACCCGTGGAATGACAAAATTATAGAAACGGAAAGTAGGTTAGTGGTTGTTAGGGTTTAAGGAAGGGGTGGGCGTGGGAGGGAAATGAATGTGGCAATATAACAGTGGTGTTGTCACTGTTAAGTGCCATTGAGTTGGTTCTGACTCATAGTGATCCTGTATAGAGGTTTTGAGGAGCAGCCGTTGAGTTTGAATCAATGACCTTGTGGTTCAAACCAACCTTGAGGTCAAGCACTTAACTTACGATGCCACACCAGGACTCCATAATATAAGGGTAAGATGAGGGATTCGTGTGGCTATGGAAATGCTCTATTCCTACTTTGATCCATCAATGACAGTTTCCTGGTCATGATGTGGCATTATTCAGGTTTGCAAGATTATTCAAGTTTGCAAGATTATTCAAGTTTTCCCTTGGGGAAAACTGGCTAAAGGGTACATGAAATCTCTTTGTATTATTTCTTATAACTGTAAATATATCTACAATGATATCCAAAAAAAGTTTATTTAAAAATGCCAAACCCCATCTCGATTCTATTTAAATAAAGTCTTTGGGGTTGGGGTATAGTAATCCTCATTTTTTACAAAGCTCCTCATGTTCACAGCTTCTCATCAACATCAGTGTTTCCCCCGACCAAACTACCATTACATTCCTGCCCAGCCTCTTGAGATCAGATGAGTCACCATCCTTAGAGGGTACCATACATCCTTAAACTGCTGTTTCTCTTTGTGCACAAAGATTTCTACTCCCACACCCATTGCCTGTTGATTCTTCTGGTTTAATCTTCAAGAGACAACTTGATTTACAAAGTACTGAAGGGATGGACTCCTTGCCGAATCCACTAGGTATGGCTAACAACTGGAATACAAAATGAAACTTAAATTCTTTTCTCTGACAAACAAGCATCCTTTCCCCAAAGGACCACCAAGCTCATACCGTGTGACAGTCAGTTGCCCAAACCTTCTTCTCAAACGAATCCCTGACTTGACCCACAAAAAAAGTGCGTAGTGTAGAACTGATGTTGTTATGTGCCGTGGAGTCGGTTCCGACTCACAGCGACCCTGTACAGGGTTTCCGAGGCTGTAAATCTTTAGAGATGTACAATTTTTGTTAATTCTGCAAGTAACGTAAGGATAAGATGTTTTCGACACCGTTAAAATATAGTAAAGTCATGAATATTTCAACCAAGGAAAGAGAAAGACAAATAATTTCAAGTGACAAAATATAGTGAAAATCTTGCATTTCATGTTTGAATGCACTCAGGTGCAAGTTCACTTAGACACAAGCCCAAGACACATTCAGACGTTATTTTGCAAAATATTATATCATCTCAACTTGATCTTACATTTTGGCACTATAATGAGGGGACAACAGGTCTAAAATTTAAAGATAATCTGTACTACTGATAAAGTTTGATGACTAACTATAATTACAAATGTGACTTTTTCCATTGTTGGACATGTAAAAGCAGCTACTGGGTACAAAGCTTTTAGGTCTTTTTTTGTTTGTTTGTTTTTATGCACCAAAATAACTGTTGTCAACATGTTTATTATTTGTGTCAATAACTTAATCCTTCCATATTTAGAGTGCAGACCAGCAGCTGATCCCCATTGCTATATATGTTTTCAAAAATTCATATTTTTTAATATTTTATTGAAAAGACCTTTGTGACAACTAAGGGGACTTTTCTGGGTTTTCTATTCGGTTCCATTGATGTAAGTATCTATCCTTCTGCTAATATCAAACTGTCAGCTATAGAATAAGTCTTGAAATTGAGTAATCTGATTCTTCCTATCATATTCTTTTTCAAAATTGTTTCAGCTATTCTAGTTCCTTTGCTTTTCCATCTCAATTTTATAATATAGCCACACACACAAAAGTTTCTGGGATTTTTATAAGAATTGCATTAAACTTCCATATCCATTTTGGAGGAATTGGTATCTTTACTGTGCTGAGTCTTCCATTGGAAAGTCATACTAAACCACTAGGAACTGATCTCCATGACTTTTGCCAGGTTGCTCTGTTGTTCTGGTTAAGTGCCATCAAGTCAGTTCCGACTCATAGCGACGCTGTATAGGGCTTCCAAGGAGCACCTGGTGGATCTGAACAGCCAACCATGTGGTTTGAAGTCCAGTGCTGATCCTACAGCACCACACCAGGTTGCTTTAGGTCCATGCAAAACAAGGCACTTAGGTGAATTCCTTGTTTTGTTTTATCTAAGTGATCCCTTCATTCAATACATATGGATTGCTGGAGATACAGAGTGCCCAACTAGGGAACTCTTCCTGTCCACCTAGGGCTTACAGTCCAGTGACAGTAAAAGATTCCCGAGTATGTTGCTATAGATGTTTCAAGATATACTCTTAGCTCATGTGAAGGAAAGCATAGATTTTGAGTCAAAAGTCACACTTACAAATTATGTGAAGTTGAAAAATCATTACTTTCTCCACTTCAGGTTTTGTATCTGTTGTCGTTGTTAAGTACTATGGAGTCAATGGGAAAATAATTATCTACTTCACAGTGTTGTGAAGGTCAAATGAGGTAGTATATATGGAAGTACCCTAAAAATTGTCCTGTTGTGGTGCTGTGGATTAATGTGCTGGACAGCAAAGTCAGTTTGATCCACAAGGTCGATGGTTCAAGCTCACTAGCTGCTCTTCGAAACCTTATACAGGGTCAGTATGGGTTGGAACCGACTTGACGCCATTTAACAACAACAACATATTATAGTCACTGAATGCATGTTATTTAACCTCTCTATTAGCATGTTTTTAATAGAGTCTCTTCTGAGAGATGGAGGGGGAGATCAGCAAGAATTGTCAAACGTAGTTTTGGTCATTGTTGCTGTTTGGCAATTAAGAAAGTTGTCCATTTGCATAGATGCCTCCAGAAACCCAAGCAGCTAAGAAGAGCCTCATCCAGTGAGATGTTCTTGTCTTGAGCCTCTCAGACACACGCTCTAGGGCTTGAATAAGAGATTTGTCCCCATTGCCTTTAAGATAAGCCATCATTTACCTTCACAAGGCTCACCAGGTAAGCCATGTTATTAGAGAGCCCATCACAGCAAAAAGTCTGAATAAAACGTCCATAAGGGATCAATTTCTGATGCTGAGTCCTGAAAAAGGCAGCAATGGGGCCAAGGATGACCCAGCCATATCATATGACAGCCAGTGATATGAAAATGAAGCAATCCTTGGATGCTAAATACTCTCAGGCATCAGCATACATTCCAAATCAAATAAATGAACACCAACCAAACCCACTGGGCAAATCTAGTAATGAAACTCATTCCCATTTCTCTAGAGGTTTTCAACACTGTAGACAGTCTGCAAGCTATTAGGTTTTTGAGGTCAGGCAGGACCTTTCTTACCTGCTGTACTAAGATGTCTCCAATTCGGTTGATGACAAAATTTCTGTCATTGTTACTGCAGGCTTCCTGCCTTCGTTCCTTCATACTATAAAAGAAGTGTCTGTGGATTTCAAGTAACTCATCTAAACAGGGGAAGATTTTGTCTACAGTGCTGTGGTCCAGCTGCAGCTCTTCTTTCATCCCTTTTCTGAAGATCTCAGCCATGATGAAGAGGGTCTGGATGTGATGCAGTTCTGTCTGCATGAGCTCTGCAATGTGTGAGCAGAAATGAGCTTTAGACAGCAAGTCATGCCACAGACTTCACTAAGTACCTCAATACTATGTACTACCAAAATAAAAAGGAGGAATGATGAGAAGCCACTTCTCTTCTACTCCAGAAGTCATCATTGATTAAACATTTAAACCCCAAATTGTATTACAGTATTTTTTTCTAGATACTATAAGAAGTATACATCTTTGCAGGATCAGAAAGCCTCAGTTTCTCCTATGGAGTGACTGGTGGGCTCAAACCACCAACTTTGTGGTTCACAGTCCAGTGCTTATCCTACAGAGCCACCGTGCTCTCCACAGACACAGTGGCTTCTTATAGTGCCAGCATCAATGGACTCAAGCATGGCAGCAATTGTAAGGTTGGCCCAGGACTGGGCAATGTTTCATTCTGTTGTGCATATAGGGTCGTTAAGAGTCGGTTCTGACTCGATGGCACCTAACAACAACAAACAACAACAAAAGAAAGGGGAATCCAATATATAAGACTCTATGGTGTCTGTGGAGAGCATGGTGGCTCTGTAGAATAAGCACTGGACTGTGAACCACAAGGTTGGTGGTTTGAGCCCATCAGTCACTCCATAGGAGAAACTGAGGCTTTCTGCTCCTACAAAGATGTATCCGCCTTGGAAACTCTAAACAGGGTCAGTATGAGTCAAAACTGACTGGATGTCACTTAACAACAATAACAAAATGTGCCTGAAACTCTCATAACTAGCTAGTGTCTTTAAATATCTTCAGCAAGGGGCTAGGCCTTATTCCTTCCTGAGTGCTCTGTGATACCTAAGTGTGTTCCCATTAAGTGTGAGCACAAGTCACTGGGGAATTATATATGATAAGATTCTTTAATGCAAACAACAGTTGTTGTTGTTATGTGTCATGGAGTTGGTTCTGACTCATAGTGGCCCTGTATAGGGTTGCTGAGGCTGTAAATCTTTAAGGGAACAGAAAGCCTCATCTTTCTCCTGTGGAACTGCTAGTAGTTTCGAACTGCTGACCCTGAGGTTCACAACCCGATTCGTAACCACTACGCTAGCAGAGCTCCTTGCAGAGAACAGTAGATCCTTTCTATTTTCAGACTCTGTCTTCAAAATTCCATCTCTTGGGGGTTGGGGGGGGGGAAGCATCATGACAAAGGATAGTAACAAAAAAGTGAAAAGACAGTCTATAGAGAAATGCAGGAGGAAATACTTACAAATCATATATCTGACAAGGTACTTACAGCTAGAAAAATAGAATTCTT